CGATACAGGAGTGCACACTCTAAAAGATTATTATGAGGACTAGAGATCATTAAGAACTACGCATGTGCAGCAATCAGATCACTGCACCTGACAGACTGACAGCGACATCTGCACCCAGCTTCTCCCACGCACTCTGCGGGGCATGCACATTATGCAACATGTCTGCAACCAAAATAAACAAAGTTTTTGAATATAAAAGTAAATGAGGTATATTTCCCATGTGAATAATTTTTCAAATAATTTTGCTAAATTGTGTTGCTTTTAGTTGAAAAGAGGGGAAGCGGCATCATGTTAATTATTTAATTAGTTCAATGGACATGTCTTGAAAATGTTACGCCCTGAATGATTGAAGCACAAAGCTGTTAACCCAGCGTTACGGCAGTTCCAAGGTGATACTCTAATTATGCATATTATCCTTTTTTTTTAATAAACGCTCCCGTTAGCATCTGCAATTTCTCATATCCTCATATTTACAGACACATGTTGCAGAAAAAGGGTTCGAAGCTCAACCACTGCTGGACGGTTCTCTCTTGATACAGCAGAGATCTGGTCTTATTAAATAAAACCCTTTCGCGGATCTCATTTGCACTTTGGAAGGAAAGGACTTTACCTGTACCGACGTCCTGATAACATAATTGGCTTCGCGCCATCTTACGTTTTGGAAAGACAGCGCCATAGTTGTTAGACGCTGAAGGAAGTCTAGTAGTCCATACATGTGATTTTCCAATGCGCAATATAATTATTACACTGTTACAAACGTCCAAAACTTTTGGTCAACTCAATAACACTTTTTATTTGCACAACTTTACGTCCCATTCCAATGCATATCATGTGAAGATCTAATAATGAGGCGATCCATTATGTGTTTATAAAAGTGCATCAGATTCTTTATTAACTCGCATTGACAGAATGCAAAAAAGTGCACTTTTCTCAAAGATATCATCGTCCTTTACCAGATTTCGACTTACTACTAAAGAAATTGTTGAAGCGATATATTTTTTTCGTTTCAAAAGCACGTATTTTCCTCCAGACAATGTGCAGAACTTTTTCCAAAATGATTTCTATATCAGCTCATTATAATAT